CCGTTAAGTTACTATTTTTTGTTGTTAAGTAACAATTGTTTTTTGTACGAAAAGATTAACTTGGGGTTAAATTAGAAAACAATAGGGACCTTAATTAATAGGAACCAAATTAAGGTCTGTACATTAGTTTAATAATCAAATTAGAGATTTTTTTAGTTTAGAAATCAAATCAAGAGTCCATATAATAGTTTAGAGATCAAATTGAGGCTTTAACTTAATTTTAAATAATTAATTATAATTTTTAAAAATAATATTAATTTATAAGTTAATTTTAATTTCTATAAATAATAAATATTAATCATTTTAATAATTTTAATTATTTTAAATTATAAAATAAAATAAAATATATATTTAAAAATAATATTATGTAGCCTTAATATTTTTAAAAGTAACCATCAGAAAATCCTACCGAAAATCCTCAATTCCATGTTTAGAATGGAGCGAGTGTAATGGTGTATTCATTCTCTAAATAGGACCCTCAATTCCTAAAATCCTCATTTGGATATATTTTGGTCTACTGTATGTTTTATTCACAGCTATGCTTAAACCGACATATTTGAATTAAGAAAAGTGTTTTTTTATTACAAAGAAATAAGTTAAAAGTATACTAATTATATTTATTAATTATTATAAAAACTAAAAATAAATTTTAATTTTATTAATTGTTTATTTAAAATTATATATTTATCATTAATGGCTAAAATGAAATTAATTTTTTATATATTGTATATAAAATTAATAAAAAATACAATTAATACATTTTTAATCAAACACTTTAATATATATATATATAAAACAAAACTTGAACTAATATAGGCATAAAATATAAAATTGTCGAAGTTGAATAATTTTTGTCAAATTCTTTTATAAATTGCGATAAGTATCAAAATACATGGAAGAGAATCTAGAGTTAGTTTAAAGACAATGAAGTAGAAAGCTAATACATATTCATCATCTCTCTATCCATAAATACCTCTTTTCACAAGAGCAATATGCTCGGTAATTTATTTTTAATTAATTTGCTACTTGCAACTGCAATATGTAATGTGAAACGTTCTCATCTAAAGAAAATAATCTCTTCTCTAACCATTGTTTTTAATTTCCTCAAATATTTTAGAATATCTTTCTTTTACAATGTTAGAGCTAGAGCCACATTAAACATTATTGATAATTAGACATAATTATTAGACATTTGTATTTATATTTGTATTCACATAAATATATATGGTGATATAGTCATCAAAATTATGTTGCACTCCACTCACTAACATGAAAGTTACATGTATAAACAAAATGTGTGTTGGCTGGCCAAAAATAAATAAATAAACAATCAAATTTGTGTGTATAGAATTTTGTAAAATTGAAATAGAATTTCATATTATTTACTACAAACTATTTCGAGGAGAAAATACAAACATTTGGAATGCACAGGTAGAACTGTAGAAGCAGTGGAGGAGCAGCACGTGAGATGTTTACAAGGGGATTGTGCCTGTTATAATCTGAATTGCAAAAAGAAACACAATTGAGATTAAGAGGCTGGATTTTCTAATGGTTCAATTTATTTTTTAGTTTTTAAAATTTTAATTTTAAATACTTTTAATCTTTACTTTATCTTTTATTCTTTTTCCTCTTAAATTATAAAAAATATATTTTGTTTAATTTAATCGGTTAAGTATGTGTATATATACATATTTTTAGTTTCTTAACTTATAAATGTTTATATAAGCTCAATAACTATAAACGTTCATATATATATATATATATGTATTTTTTAGTCCATGAGAAAATATGTATGTATTATAAGTTCAAAAATTAAAATATAAACAAATTTAATAAATAAACAAATTTAATAAATTAACTAATGAAAGAATTAAAAAGTGCATTTTTCATTAGGAGTTTTTTAACTTATTTCCTAAGAATGCATCTATTATATCTTTTTATCCTTAATTTAAATGAAAAATTACAAAAGTAAATTATATTTTTAACATCAATACTGCATGAAACAATTTAATTAGATAATTAATAAAACTAGAATAATTTTTTTCATACAAATTAATAATAAAAAAATATAATAAATACATCTTAAGTACACATGTTACAAAATTCCTTTTTCATAGTTCAAAGTTGAAAAAAGTGTAAAAAAATATTTTCAAATAGTTAAAAAATTAAAAATACTTAAAATTAAAAATTTATGAACTAAAAATAGCATTTAACCTTTCTAAATTAAGCATTCTATATTAACAAAAATTACCAAGAGAATGGATGCAAACTGACATATTCATGAACACAAAGCTATTCACATATAAGCATTCTCCCATGTGGCGGTAATGGTGGTCACGTTTCTCTAAAGTGAGAAGCAAGTGAAGCGTACTTTAGTTTGCAGGTCAAGTCTCAAACTCGACTTTCCTCAAACAAATATTAACCTATTACCGTATTTTGTTTTGTCAAAAAAAAAAAAAACTATACATACATAAAAACTAGTGGACGGTGCTATATAGATAACTTTTTTATATCATTTTTTAATACAATCTTTATATTTTATTAAATGAATGGATGTATTTAATATTACAGGTTTTACATGAATAAAAAAAATTGATCATTTAAATAACACGTAAAATTATATCAAAAGGTAGTACAAAAAAATTGTCTTAAAATCATTTCTCAAAATTAATATAAGAGGAAAGAAGATACAATTATAGATACAATATTGAAATTCAATGTATCCTTGTAGAGCATGATTTGCCAATCTTGGAAGGAATATCCGAATGGTCAAGGTGAAGATAGTGTTCCTTAATATACCATACAACATCAAGCAGGACGCTTCAAAATAACCACATAAATAAGAACCAAATATACATACTCAGATTAAAACTTAAATCCATCGCGTAAAATTCCACTCAAATGCTAACATGGAATAATCTACGGTGAACCAAATCTTGTAAATATGTGGAGTATTAAATGCAGGGAATCCATTATATATATAGTGGATTTAAGAGGGCAAGCACTAAGCCAAAAAAAGTTTGATTTACATGGAATAATCCATATACAAATCTTGTAAACGTGTGGACTAGCTATAATACCAAGTGGACCTTTTTAGCTTGGATTTCAATTTAACCAAGCAGATGGAGAATGATACAATGTAACTAACAATTGGAGGGCCGGAAACCATTTGAGGCATAGCAAGAGCTAATCAAAGATGCTAGATTTCTTGCATTTTATACATAATGCATTACCACACAAGCTTAAATGCAGAACTTGCATCAACACTACAAGTTTAAAGGAAGAACACGGAGGTGGACTCGAACCCCACACCTCTAGAAGGATAAGAATGCCATTAACAATGCATAGGTGGCTACTAGATCACAAGAACTTCTCTTAAAGGATTAATACTTAAATATATAAAAAAAGAGCAAATAGATATACTCATGAAATATAAGCTGCAAGTTCAGGTCCATTTAGGGGCTGGTTCTTCTATCCTCTCATGCATCCAACAAACCTGTAACATACCATCACTATTGGAAAAAACAGGGCTACAAACGTATAATACAGCATCACAACTGAAAAAACAAGCTATTGACTAGGGAGATATAAACAATGTTTTCTCCACAAGCTTATTCCTTTGCTTGCCAAAGCTGCCAACTGAAATGTACTATATATCATGACCTCCAGGATCAGGAGAAACTAGACTTTCCCAACAAACGTAGCTCAAAATCTTACCCTTCACAGGGCGAGGCATCCCCTCAAGTTCCACCATTTCTCTCGTTTTCTTTTCAATGTTATACCAAAAGAACTCTTGGTATTTAGAAATGAGAACACAATCCCCCTCCTTTGAATATGCCAAGGGTGTAACCCACAGATAACCGGTACCGCATTGATCCTCAAACTTGAAAACTCTCACCCAATTACCTCCGGTTCCAATGTCATCACGCTTGAACACATAGTACTCGTGGGTTTCGGGCAACTTGCTTAGATTAACCGTATGAAGATACCCTCCCAAATCCATCAGGTTATGGCATGTGACACGACCATCGTAATGCGGCAAGGTAAAGAACACTTCACTTGCAAGATCAAATCCAAAAATCTGAAAGAAACCAGACGCAAAGCATTGCCAATACAGAGCACCATTTATAAAGAAACCCATAAATGAGGACTCAATAATTACGTTTTATAATTGCACCAAACCAGAAGTCCCTCTTCAGTTCGCGTCTACACTCTGAATTGACTTGCAAAGCCCCGAGATGGAACTCGGGGTAGACACTCCGATACTTAAGTCAGCAATAATCGGGATTACCTTTAGAGCGGAAATAAAAGAAGCTTAGGGTTGGTTTCAATTACCTTTTGACGTGGCCCGTGGGGGTATTTATAGGATCCAATGAGGAACCCACGTGGCATGTCAAGCAAGATAGTTGGAGCCTGACGTGTCTATCCAGATGATTATTCCAGGACCGGGAATTTGAGAGGTACTCAAATGTAAGGATGTCCACCATAACTGCTGTGCAGCTCATTATAAGGGATCAGGTGGGCGTGCTCATTATCGCTGTTATGCAGCTATTTAACCGGGAAGGTTTGAGTTTATTCTTCACTTCGGTCATAAAGGAATTAACATATCGGACCTATCCTTACACGTTTATTTCTGTATAATAACGACGCCAATGTAAGTACTCAATCTCATTATATGGAGGAACAACATCTTGAATCATTCTCCAAGAATTTGATCTCAAATTAAAAATCCAAACTTGACAACACTCACCCTCATCGGCGACGGAAACCGCAGCCATCATTACGACCTTGTAGTCGTCTGTAGGAGAATCATACCCCAGACCGCCACAGACGAATTTTTGGCCGGGGAGGGTTGTGACGGGACAGACCGGCAGTTTTCTACTCTGCCGAGTGGTGGGATTCCAAACAACAAAGTCCTCACAGATATCTGAATTTCTTGTGCCCAAAAGAATCAAATCATCACAAGAACCACAAACAATGGTGTACCGATTTGGTGCTGTGACTGGGCTGTTGAGTTTGATGGTTTGTTTGAGTCCGTCGTCGAAATCTGCAGCGTATAAGTCGACGGGACCATCATCTCCGCCCCCGTGGGGGAGGATTAACTCGAGGTTAGTTTTGGTGTCCATGGATGTTTTGAGGTGCTTCTTGATGAAATCAGGACTGTCAATAAGGAAGCAGAATGATTTAGAAAGGCATCTGAATTTCAGTAGAGACCGATTTGACAGGGAAGCTGGGGAGAATGAAGAGATGGGTGGCTAAATCTAGGGGGAAATGAGATATTTTTCCGGGTATGATCAAGAATGCAATATGAGATTGCCCAAGGCTTTGGGTTGAAGAATGGCACTACGTACATGGGTGCAGATTTAAATAGGGGGGATGTGGAGAGGAAGGGAGGTAGAATGAGTGGAGGTAACCTCCAAACCCACTATGCTCGCTTACCTTCCCAATCCGGGGATTGAGATTTAAGAGGGAAGGTATTTACTCAATTTCATAATTAATTTTCAAGCTATGAATTTGAAGGATATAGAGGGAATGAATGAGTTTTTCAATATAAGATTGCTAATTGGCAATTCATTTTGTTACTACTGATAATATAAAGAGAGACCACCCAATAGAATTAGGGATAAGCCGTGATGGATGGACTACACACTTGTATATAATTCTATTACGCATTTTGGTTAAATGCTAATAGTTGTATAGAGGACTTTAAATTAAACATGTAACCTCCATCCTTCTAAATTTTGGTCATTTTATTCCTCAAAATTTTTGGCCCTCCTAGAAAACAAGTAAAGGAAGGGATTGAAATCATAAACACAGTAGTGTTGCCAAAATGGAAGATGATGAGACTAGCAGAACTCATCAATCATCATTTTAAACTTTAACATAAGCAAATATTATTGATACCAACACCTGGTAAGAAAAGAAAGCATATATCTAATCTTTGGAGATCTAAAATCACTTTCAATATACGCACCCCAGCTCAACATCAAAGCAAAGTACCTCAACAACTTTGGAGAAACAACTTTCTTGATTCTTAAGACTAAACAATTGGTGCCTCAAAGTTGATTTTCAGACATAAGGAAGTTTTTAATCCCAAAATGTTTCTGACAGAAAAGGCAACGACCTAAGCAGATTCACAATTATATGATCCAAGGCACCGTAAACCATCCACCATAAGAACCTGAAATAACCAAAGGAAAGCTGCAATCAGAACTTATAGTTACAGTGATAAATAAAGAAAACATTATCACTGTGACAAAACCATTTTCATTTGAATAGGAATATGGATCTCCAACCACAAATGATGGCTTACTATGCTTTACTATCACTTGAGGCAGCATGAGTCTCACACCTACCCAATGATCCATCAATTAAAAACTCACAAAGTGAGTATGTAAAAGGAGGAAAAAGAAACAATTTCTTCACCAAACCCAAGCAAAATGCTTAATATCAGCTAAGTCAGTATATACATAATAATAAAAATTTGAATTAGGTTTTCCTTGGGGCAGCAATGTAGCACAACATGACCTAAAAGTGGAACAAGCCAGGACACTCTCTCCAAGAGATTAGGAATGAAAGTCTTGGCACTAAAACCTAGATGTTTTAATCCAATATTTGGTTGGCAATACAAGGATCTAATGTCCATAGCAGGAATCTTTTAGCAATTTCCATTGGCACTTTATTAATGTGAATAAAATGAAACACAACACATTTTGATCAATTAGCAGTTTACAGCAAACTCTCAAGAGCTGCATAACTAACTCTCAAGGCCGATTACCTTTTTATTCAGGCAGTTCCATCATGGCCTGCTGGAGTTGAGAGCCAGGAGCATGTTCTGTCCACCAGGCAGGTATGCCACATTTGGTGACCTAGCAAGAGTTGAAGCTATCTCCCTTGATGCCTCAATCCTCCTTAGCTCAATCAGGCCCATGCCTGCTTTTGAAGTGGCATCAGAAATGAGCTGAGCAGCCTCACTTTCACCTTCCGCACGGATAATAGCAGCCCTCCTCTCCTGGTCAGCCTTCATGACAATAAATTTAGAACGCTCTGCCTCCTGTTGTGCCACTTGCTTCTGCTCCACTGCCCTTGAGAACTCTGATCCATATGACAGGTGTGTAATTGCTACATCATCCAGCACAATGTTAAAGTCCCTTGCACGTCTAATCAATGATTCTCGGACCAGGGCAGATACATGAGGACGCTCAGTGAGAAGCTGATCGGCATTGAACTGTGCAACAACAGCTTTCAAGACCTCATTGCCGATGGAGGGAAGCACCTTCTCATCATACTCAAGACCAAGATGTTGGAAAATATAGGGAAGACGTGACACCTTTAACAGAAAATAAATCATTCAAAAAGGAAACTGAGACCATCATAATTACCAAATATACAGGACAAGAGAGATGGTTACTTAATGGAATATGATATGAAGTAATCATCAAGGAAATTAGGAAAAATATACGTATATGAGAGTTTGCAAAGTGGGAAAAACTCAAGGATGCCTAGCTAGATAGCCCAGGTTTGCCGCTTCTGCATTTTGCCTGTAACATATAGTTCACATTCTTAACGCCAAACAGAAAAATAAAGACACATGTATCCGCTTTCAAACTAGAAGCCCAAACAACAATGCCAAAAATCTCAAAGGAAAAAAGACTCAAGCCACCAATTCATGTCAGATATCATAAAAACTAAATTCATCAGACACTCTACTAAATGCTAGTGGAAACAGAAGAGAAGGAAAACAAGATAAAAGGCAATGTCGATTCTGGTGGGTTCCTCCCCTAACCCGGATTTCTCATTTCCTTAGACCTTGATAAACAGTAAATCAATCCCCTTAATTTGACAAACCCATTTCCCCACCATAGTTTTTCACAGACAAGGGAATTCCAAAATTTGATTCTGACTCCATTGTTATCATGATACCGATTCTTTACTTCACTGGCAAACAAAACCCCTAAAATTTCATCAACCCATTTCATGAACACCTAGATTGCACAAGTAAACTATATTCATTTTACCTCAGGGCGAGAGAGAACCCTCAGGGTTAGGTTGACCATCTGGAGATCTTTGGTACCGGAGACAGAGGAGAATGTGTGAGGCCTGGTGCGTATATCGAAGATGAAGGGCTTCTGGAGCCAAGGGATCAAGAAGTGAGTCCCCTCTCCCACAGTCTCGTCGATCACTCCCCTGAACCGGTCAAACAGAACAGCACGCTGCCCACCATCCACCGTGTACAGCGATGCGTTAAGGATAGAGGCGGCGGCGCCCAGACCAAAGGCGGCGCGAGCAAGGTTCGTTAAGACGTTGGCTGCTTGGCCTGCCATTTTTTTTGGCGAAGGTTTTGCTGGCTTTTCAACCAGAGAGAGGGTTTTAGGGTTTATGGAGGATAATGTCTTGTTTAACCTTGAGAAGTCAAGCTTGCAGAAGGGGAAAGGCAAAAACCCTTCTTAAGCCCCCAAACTTACCCTAAAATAACATTTAAGCCCTTGAAGTAAAAATAAAGCAGATAAGCCCTCTAACTCCACTAATAATGCAAATAAGCCCTTCTCACAGAAGGGGTAAATGGTATTTCATGTTTAATATCATCTTGAAAGCATGAATAACCATGAATGAGAAGGGCTTATTTGCATCATTAATAGAGTTAAAGGGCTTATCTGCTTCATTTTTTGTTTAAGGGCTTAAATGATATTTGGGAGTAAGTTTGGGGGCTTAAGAAAGGTTTTTGCCAAGAGGAAATGGAGCGGTTGGGCAATGCCTTCTGTGTGCTAAATTGGGCCTTCAATAAGGCTCTTCATTTGGGCCCTTAATTGGGCTCGTCATTATCGGACCCTAAATTGGGCTTACATTATTGGGCCTTTAATAGGGCTCAGGCTATTCATTATTAGGCCCTTAAAAGGGCTGGTCATTATTGGGCCCAATTTAGCCCGGTTTCATAATCTGGTCCAATCAAAGACATTCCTCTTCTAACTCAAAGCTCTCACATTTCTGTTGCGTCTCAGAAACCCTAATTCGGAGAGAAACAAAGGATCAAACTTGCTGAGAATTCGCAAGTAAAGGTACTTTCTTTCTCCCTTAGCAGTTCTTCCACTTTCTTCAATTTTTAGGGTTTCCTTAATTGAACTGCATTAGGGTTTATCCCTTGATGGGCTGCTCTCTGTAGTCAAATGAACAGATTGTTGTATTTTTCTTAAACTAAACCCCTCCCCCCCCTTTTTGTCATTATTGGATATGTTTTTGATGTATGAGATGTGTGACCCCTTGTTCGAATGTGGGGTGTTTTGGCTTGTAGGAGCGTGTTAGGTCAGAGGGCAATCCCAGTCAGTAATTGAGGAACCAGATGTTTTTAGTGATTTGAGTAATTTGTTTGTGATTGATTAAGCAACCTAATTTGGCTGTTTCATTACTTGCTGCATAGAGATGTGACATTCGAATGATTCAGTGTTATAATTCGATTGTGGTTCTTGAATCTTGATAAATGTTATAGTATTGTGTGTGCTGAATTTGTGTGGCTTAATTCTATGAAGGGCTATTGCAGGATAAATGAAGCATAATTATACTGATTCAATAGGATTTGGAAAATTATGAATGGATGAAGGTCATAAACTCTTTGGAAAATTGGAAACTGTCTTTGTTGTTTAATCGTAGTTATGTTTTTTCAATCTGCAGTAGGGAACCCATGTACTGGGTTTTGTTTACTGAAAGAAAAACCAATCTAGTGAAATTTTTCCTCGCATTCAGTACTCTTGAATGAGCTCTGGCAATCTGATTTAATTAAGGATACAAAACTGTGTGAAGCCTCCCTTCTAGAGCCGTTGAAATGAGAGTTAAAATGTCCTCTGTTGATTCCAAGAGAAAGGTTAACCACTGAGTTGATTTTTGAAGTAATTCACGTTTCATTTTTTGGAGGATTAATACTTGCTGGTTTGGACATAATTTTGATATATATCTGAAAAAGTTTCAGGAGTGAAGCAACGGCCATGAATCACATCAGATCATTGACAAGTGTTAAGGTTGCCAAGGAGGCAGTTCAGTACGTGGGACAACGAACATTTTCTGCTGGAGCTGGCAAGGCTAAAAAGGGTTCCAAAGGGACTGCAAGCGATGCCCCAAAGGCATCAACATTGAGCGAGGAAGTCAAGTCCACAACAGTGGTAGGTGCCAACATACTTAAAGATGGAGCAGATCCAAAACTCTTGCCAGATTCTGAATACCCTGATTGGTTGTGGCATCTGCTTGATAAGCGCCCTGCATTGAGTGAACTACGGAGGAAGAATGTTGAAACCCTCCCGTATGAAGATCTAAAACGTTTTGTCAAGCTAGACAACCGAGCTAGGATTAAGGAAAACAATTCTGTCAAGGCCAAAAACTGATTTAGAATCCCTAAGGGGCATTATTTCTTTGCCTGGCCAATGCATTTTTGTCATGGGATACCTTGAAAAGGGATTGACTTGCTTTTGGGAAATGCTCAAATTGAAATGCAGAGAACTAATACAGCTTCATGCATAACTCTGTAGGTCCAAACTCTTTTTTCTTTTTGGTTAAATACCCTTTTTGGTCCCTCTACTATAGGAAAAAGCCCCTTTTTAGTCCCTGTACCGAAAAAATCCCCTTTTTGGTCCTTACTGTTCACAAATCCGGCCCCTTTTTAGTCCCTCCGTTAAATTTTTGCTGATGTGGCAGGTTAATTAACAGAATCATTTGAATATTTTTTATACAAATAATATTATAAATGAGGTGGAAATTATGTGGATGCCACCTGTACAAATTAAAAATTTTACTTTTTAATTTATCAATTAAATGAATTTAAATAGGATTAATTTTAATTTTTTAATCGTTTTTGTCTTCTTTGTTAACATTGATAAATTTCTAGGCCTGAAGCACTGTGGGAAGAGTTGCAGATTACGCTGACCTTCGTTCTCCTCATGCTTGGCATCATACTCATCCTCACCAACTGCTAGGCTCTTTGCAGGTTGGCGAACCTAGTTTGGGTTCTTCACGGAACGCTTTTGTTGGGTTCACAGAACCCAGTTGCTGGGTTAGTGGAACCCAGAT